TCCACGTTATTTTGTCTCATTAATCCGGAAATTCGCGTTCCGCATCCGGACGGTCGATTTCTACTACAAAACGTAATAGTTCATTGAAAAATGACTCGTTTATCTGGACGGTAAATTTTTCAAGAAACGACTTTTTCACAGTGTTAATTGTTGTAAAAACATTGGCCATGCAGTCAGTTTGAAGGTGGTTTCCTGTGACCTACAAACAATAGCGTCTATAATTATCTTGTGTCTACCCCAGCTAAATCACACGTCTATTATGAAACTCGGAAGAATTTAGTCTACACTGTGCATGAATTAAATAAAAATCCCTTCAAATTCATATTGCTACCTGTATATACATCTGTAAATTCATGAGAATTTTGGAGAGTTGTAAATAAAATGAACAATAAATTACGAGCGATACGTAATGGTCTTGATCATGTTGATTTTCTATTCTTAAAAAAATAAATGTATTTGAAGCGCTTTTCCCCCACAAGACAGTTTAAAAAGGTACATAATCGAAGAAATATCTTTTTATTTAATGTACTAACGTCTATAAATATACATTACTTTAGAAAAGAAATATAAAATTGGCGATATGTATAGAAGTTGATTACGTTTTTCAAGATATTTTTTTATGATCGAAATTCAAACTTTTCTGTAGAAAAAAAATATTCATGTATTTGATAACCATAAAACTTGCTTGTGTTTACGTTGAATGTTTACAATACTTTCACTGATTGCGATTGAGCTAGTTTGCAGTGTTCAGTTACTATAGTAGCCCTGTGTAATGAATATACGGGGTTAGTTTATGTTTGATCATTTTCAATGATGATGCAAAACAGTCTGTCATATCATATGAGCTTCAATAGTTATAAAATATGCCGAAATAAAATAACAGTAGATCAAAATTTCCTCATCTGATGAAGTCACATGCCAATGAGAAGGCGAATAAAATTCCCTGTGTTAAAAATGGAGGTCTGAGCATAAATTGTCTATCCATTTTTTATTGTGTAAATTACATTTTTATATATTTTTCTTTAATTTTAAAATTACTTCTTTTAAAACCATAAAATAGTAAGAATAAATCAAAATATTTTATTTCTTTACCATCACATTTGATACCAATATGTGCATATGTACATGATTTGAAAGGGTCTTTTAAGAAGTAGTTCACATACATGTATCCGGACGATTCATTTATCCGGACGATTTCGTTGGGGACGGAGGCGTCCGGATAAACGAGACGCCACTGTATATCATTTTTTTAATTCAAACTTTTATGATCCTTCAATTTATTTTTTAAAGAGCACAAATATTATCCAAAATATTCTCAAAAGCTGCCTTACTTGTCGTAAATAGTCGATAACAGTGTCATTTAACCCTCTTGCCCGCAGTGACGCATTTTAACGCATATACCATTTCCTATTTCTAACGCAAAATCACGCATACACCGTTTCCCCGCAATCACGCATTTTTCACGCACTTTCAAAAGTAAATTGAATCTTCAATTTAATGCCAATTCCCTTCTAATTTATACTTGCTAAAATCTCATAAAATAAGAAAAGTTATATTCTTATTAAAATATTACGTCATAATTATTTACGTCACAATTATTTCAGTAAGTTGTAAAGAGTTAAATGCTGCACAATGATCGCATCGGCACAAGTGAAAAACAAAATTATTGTAAATAGTTTGTTACATAAACCAATTAAACGTATCCTTGGGTATATATAAGGTGCTAGGTTCAAGACAGAATTCATTTCTTAAGAAAATATTTCACGAGAAATTAATCTTAACCACATACAATTGGGATTTTCCACTCTTCATCGCAATTTATACAAAATAATCAAGAAAAATCCAGTTAGAGGACATATTTCTCTAGTAGATTCACACAGAATATCTTCAATTAACTCTTTACAACTTACTGAACTGTGACGCAACATACACTTAATGTTCACGTCATAGAAATATGACGTTACATTTTCCCAGCAAGTACTTAAGAGCCATTCTCTGTAATGACTTAAACACTTGTATAGGGGGGTCGGCACGCATAGTCACAGATTTTTATGAAATTTGACATAGTGACTTGTGATGATGCAACTTTAATAAAAACATCAAAATTTTGGTTTCCATGCATCTTCGTTGCCATGGAAACGCATGCCCACATTCTACAGCTAAAATGGCACCATTTTAAAGGTGAAAAATGGCTATCTTTTAATCAAAATATACATTTTTCGTAAATCATTTTCAGTTTATTAACATTGGGAGTGTTAAATATCATTATTAATTTATTCAAATATGAATTTATATCTTGCTAGAAAGAATTCATAATATTTTTACCAATATTCAAAATAGACGTGATTTTCATTAGTTTAAAAAACCAGATTTTATCACATTTTTGAGTTTAGGGTGTAAATTCCTGCATCCAGCTTGATGTCAAATGACACTAATTTCATACACCACAACTCCTTAGCTATCATAAAATGTCAAGACATTTTTGGGAATCTAAGTTATAAGTAACGTTTCTATGGAAACAAAAAGTATGTTTTTAGCAAAACCTGATGTCCAGAAAACACAAAAAGCAATCATTTCTTATCATTACTTTTCATTTACTGATCAAATCTGATAAAAATTATTTTAATACAGAGTAACCACATATCTTGCAGTAATTTTATAGGTAATTAAATGTATCCAAGCTAATATGTAGCAGTTATGATGGAAACAATATAAAAAGTTGCAACATAATGAGATTTCTACATATATTTATATGTACATGCATTTCATAAAGTATATGCTTTAAATTTCTAAAAGTGCAGCATGGAATATTTGATGCTTACAATTTATCTTGATTTTACCCCTGGACTCCAACTTGGTTGATATGGAACAGTTCGTATGCTTCCACAATGTAAACAGCCTTTTCAATCCATTCAATCCAGATGATACCTCCAATCAATATCCCCCCTCCAAATTTGCTAAAAAAACTAACTTTTTTTAGTCTAATGTTACATGTATACTTTTTTCCCACTACATGAATGTGAATACAAATTTTCCATGACTTTGAAAAAATATGTCAGTTCATGACCAATCCCTCTTTTCAAAGGGAGGACGAATTGAGAAATGGTAAAAATAGAGTAAAGTCATACAAAAATCCACCCAAGAACCATACAATAAGAAGAAAACTTACAGGGAAGCTTCTATATTTATGATTAATTCAAATTTGATCAAATCATGGTGATCAAAGCTAAAGAGGGTGAAAAGAGAATAAACATAGCTAAACCCCTAAATATTAGCTACATGTACATGTAACTTAAGGTAGTACATAGCAAGAAGACTAAATTTTGTGTGAAACTTTGATATTTTGTTGAAAGATTCATGTGTTCTAGGAAAGAAATTACCCACATTTTTTTTTTGCCCACATCATAAGTCTGAAAATATATAGCCTATCAGACCCCTTAAAAAGAGGGTGAAATAAGACATTGAACATCAGAAGGTGCATTGTTTGAAAACAGACATTTGATTTTATATATATTTTTCAAATGTGCGAGATGCCAGTTATAAAGATACTATCAATTCATTACTAAAAATTGGTAAAATATATAGATTCCAGTATTTTTTAATACACTGTGATGCTAATTAAATAGAATATACATAGCTTATATGTGAATTGCATATTCTACATCAAATTCACATGTCATGTAAATATGCTGCATCTTTAGATGTCTCAAAAGACATGTAATAGTATAATTCAAATTTTACAAAAAATCAACAGAATGATTGCAATGGATCAAAGATTAAAATGTTAAGAATGAAACCAAGTGGGTTGTTGATACTGTAAAATTTAAAAAAATTTAATGCCTAAAGAGTAATAGAATTAGTAGATGATGTTTATTTCACCTTTGGCCTTTAAATACAAGAGGCCCGGGGGCCACATCGCTCACCTGAGCACTATGACTAGGAAAAAGCAGAAATCAGTTTAGTCGGGGGGGGGGGGGGGGGGGGGATGCTTCCATTTAAATATGACCAGTCATGGCTTTGCTGTTCTTGAGTAGAAGATTTTTAAAGATTTTTCCTACGTATTCCTATGTAAAACTTTGATCACCCATTGTGGCCACACCCGACCCCCAGGGGTCATGTTTGAACAAACTTGATTCTACACTAATCTAAGAATGCTTCCATATAAATATGACCAATCATGGCTTTGCTGTTCTTAAGAAATAGTTTTTTTTTAAAAAAAGATTTTTACTATGTATTCCTATGTAAAACTTTGATCGCCCATTGTGGCCCCACCCGACCCTCGGGAGTCATGATCTGAACAAACTTGAATCTACACTTCCTGAAGATGCTACCATAAAAATATGACCAATCATGGCTTTGCTGTTCTTGAGAAGAAGATTTTTAAAGATTTTTTCCTATATATTCCTATGTAAAATTTTGATCGCCCATTGTGGCCCCACCTGACCCCCAGGGGTCATGATTTGAACAAACTTGAATCTACACTACTTCAGGATGCTTCCATGTAAATATGACCAATCATGGCTTTGCTGTTCTTAAGAAGATTTTTCCTATATATTCCTATGTAAAACTTTGATCGCCCATTGCGGCCCCACTCGACCCCCGGGGGTAATGATTTGAACAAACTTGAATGTACACTATCTGAGGATGCTTCCACATAAGTTTCATATTTTCAAGCACAGTGGTTCTTGAAAAGAAGATTTTTTAATGATGCCATTAATTTTTCAAGAATTGATAATTATCTCCCCTTCGAAGAAGACATGGCCCTTCATTTGAACAAATTTGAATCCCCTTTACCAAAGGATACTTTGTGGCAAGTTTGGATGAAATTGGCCCAGTGGTTCTGGAGAAGAAGTCGAAAATGTGAAAAGTTTACAGACGGACAGACAGACGGACTACAAACAAAATGTGATCAGAAAAGCTCACTTGAGCCTTCGACTCAGATGAGCAAATAACCCTGAACAAATTTCAACATATAGAATGGAGACTACCTTAAAACTATGCTACTCCTTAAATAAAATTTTCTTCACTGAGGAGCGCATGTCCTCGTCTTCTTGTTCAGCTTTAGCTGATGCATAATCTTCTGAAGAAATATTCCTGTCTGCAGCATGGAGACGACAGAAGTAAGAAGCAATCTGCTGACCTGTTAAGAATTCTTCTCTTGTAAACGATCCCATCTCCCTCATTTCCTTAGCTGCCAAGAATGGATCAACCTTATTTCCTGTAACCTTTCCTATGGCAAATTTTTCTTTTATAAATTCCTTCTGTCTTTCATTAAACAAACTTTTCTTTTTACTTTCTTTCATTGCCCATCCTTCTTTTAGTTTTAAATTAGCATTTTCCTCAGGATTTGTTTCCGCTGGCATAGAAACTTCTTTAGAAGGAAACAGATTTTGTAACTTCCCAGCATACAAAACTTTTGCCGAGTCATACAGGTTTCTTTTGATGTACACTCCTGAACAGTCTCCTAAAAGGATATGAGAATCAACAGCTTGTGGAGTTGAAAATGATTTATAACAGTTTTCCTTTGGACATTGGAATATCCTCTTTGCCGATTCCTCTTTAGTCTCTGTAATGTGAAAGCATGAACTGTCTCAGGTGTAATATAAATTTAAACCTCAGAATAAGAGCTATTTTTTATAAATGAGAGAAAAGGAGTGTGACCTTTATTTAAAGGATTTCTCTGAAATGACCCCATCTTTCAGTACTTAATTTAATTTTCAACCAATATGGGAAAGCACTGGGAAATCTCATTCATCTGTCTGTCTGTCTTTCCATCAGTCAGTCTGTCTGTTACAAAACTTTTACCTAGGTCATAACTTTTGAATGAAAATGGATAAGATGATTTGATTTTCATATTTAAATATGGATATGGTTCTGATGATGACCGTCTCTGGTCGAAACTGGTCAACTAAATAAATTCACTTGTGCATTCTCACAAAGTGTTGGTGATCTGTTTGTTCCGTTTAATATGGATTTAGTACTAGTATCATGACCTTTCCGAATGTTTTCTGATTTCTGGCCTCAGGACCTTGACACTGAAAATTGACCCTGTCTAATAAGACTCCAACAGCCTTCAGGACCATCATTATCTAAATTTCTAATTTAAATGCAATTATTTTAAATACCCTCCATGGAATTTTCAATGATCAAGTTCCTTTCACATATGCCGTCTTCTTTCCAGTCCAAAATGGTTTTCAACTCAGTGGATTTTGTTGGAAGACCTAATGCACTCCAAGGAAGCATTTTTCCTGGTAATCATCAGAAATGATAACTGATCAATAAGTAATACATTAGAATAAAATTGTCAAATGTTCTGTTGTTTGCCATATTTAACTGCATAATGTGTAATTTGAAAATATCTTGTCATACCTTTTCCAACAGAAAATGCCTTCCAAACATTGAGACCTTCACTGTTGTAGCAGAAATTGTACAATGTTGAAATGGCTGGGATGGAGACTTTATTTGGTTTCAAATCTACTAAATTTACAGTTGAAACTACTTTCACTTTCAACTCTTCTTTCTCCTCTCTATCAATAGCCTGAAATATACAGATTGGAATTTAAAAAAAAATCTTCACTGATGGTTTGATATATTGAACTTCAAGCTTTTGGTTCCTTTAACTTATTTCTGATTTTTTTTTCTCTAATTTATTTCAGTTTTACAGTAAATAGGAAAATGCAATTTCATGTTATTTTGAATTGTGCTGTACTCATCAGTTTGGGCACTTTATTTTTATGTGCATAGTATCAAGTAAAACAAATTTATAGTTTATATTTAAAATTGCTATTGCATCTGAAATGTTCTATTACATATATTTATATCAAAAGAGGCCCATGGGCCACATCGCTCACCTGAGCTCATTGGCTAGGAAGAAGCAGAAATAGTTCAGTATCGAATTACAAGGAAGGGGGGGGGGGGGCAAACTTAAATTTACACTATCTCAGGATGCTTCCATATCAATATTACTAATCATGGCTTTGCTGTTCTTAAACAGAAGAATTTTAAAGACTTTTTTCCTATGTTTTCCACCGTCATGGTAGCTCATTCTGTAGAGCTCTCACTCCGTGATCAGAAGGTCCTGGGTTCGAGTCCCAGCCACAACTGACCTAAGTTGATAAAAAATAGGTAGCAACTATTCCTTTGCCAAGCCCTCAACACTTTGAAGTGAAAGTTGTGGGTCCTTCGGATGAGACCTAAATAACCGAGGTCCCATGTCATGGCAGACGTAGGTATGATAAAGATCAAACTTAAATCCCCTTCACCCAAGGATGCTTTGTGGCAAGTTTGGTTTAAATTGGCTCAGTGGTTCTTGAGAAGAAGTCAAAAATATGAAATGTTTACGGACTACAGATGACAGACAGACGCCTGACACTCTTTGATCAGAAAAGCTCATTGAGCGTTCGGCTCAGGTGAGCTAAAAAAAATATACCAGTTTCATTTGTGTAGCTGTTGTCACATCATGACCCTCATTGATATACCTCCTGATTACCCCTTTTATGTGAGCTGCACGTCTATCACATGGGCCTAAACAAAATTAAAAGTGAGTCATAGTTTCATAATTTGATTTTTTAAAAATAAATTTAGAGGGTTTTTTTTTTTTGTTGTGCACAAATTTCATCATCAAAATTCTAGAGCTGACATAATCACAAGAAATCATTAAATTTGCAACAAATCTGTTTGCAAAGACAGTACAGTAATCTGTCTTTAATCTCCAACTCTTGTTAACTTGCTCTTCAAAAAATAAACGTTGTACATTTGCATCATTCTGCTTATCTTAAACTCACCTTTTCCGTTTTGTGCTTCTGAAAAGTTGTAGGACTTAACATTCTCTGGTAACTCCTTATGTAACATTACCAGGGTTGATGAACTCTTATAACAGCCAGCATTGTCCGATACAAAGTGGATATTCTTTAGAGTTGGTTTACATTTCATCAGATCTTTCGCAACATCTATTAAAATGTTGGTGGTGACTGAAGCATCCTGCTGAGTTGGAGATTCAAACAGATGTACATGTGTTACAGTTGAAAAACTGGATGCTTTCTTTAACAGGGATACTGAAATGTGCCAGTTTATTCCACGCTTGGCAAACCAATCAATTTGGCCTACAAAAAAGTGTTGTTCTGTTTTTTAAAACTATGTTTTATTAATTTTACCATTCTACACCTTAAATCAAAAGATCAAATCTGAGCAGACATTCAAAATAATGGAGAAAAATCATTAAATGGTGAATTTGTGTCATTTTCTTGGTATTATTTCTACCTTATGATGTCATAGTTGATGAAATCATTTTATGCTTTTAAGTCTGCAAATATTTCTTTAGTTATGAACAAAATTTAACATTTTTCCTTCAAAGTTTGATTTTGGGGAGCAGATATTTTCCATTCCTGAATGTACGATACTAAATTACATCTGTGATGTTTTTCAGAGAGAGAGAGTTTTCCTTACCTTCTCTGTATTTTTTGGGTAAAAATTTCATTGCCCAATCACATGTCACTAAAACATCCTCATCTGTCATTTGATCTGTGATGAATTTTCGAGCTCTCTCCTGGTTTTTTGATCTTAATATATGTGCTTTCCACTTCCTTATGGCAATGATTGCTTCTTCAACCTTTTATTTAAAGAATAGAATATTGTTACAACTGCGAAGTATCTTTCTAAAAAAAATGGTAGAGACAACTATATATTATATGCATAAAACCTGTCAATATCCTACCATATACATTGTGGCATCTTCATTTCTCCATGTTTGGGACTCTGCAAATGTCTTCATCTGATTGAGAGTATTGTCCATCTTTTCACAGTCTATACAAATACTGTTATGGTTATGCTCATCATGAAGACATACTTCTCCAAAGCATTCATCTCCAGTAATACTGAGAGCATATGAGATACAGTGGTCTGGAACAGAGCTTTCCTTTTCCACATGCATCTAGAACACCAGTAAATTTAGAGACTATATGGATGTAATTTGAAGTATCAAAACTCTGTTGTAAACATTATCATACAGAAAAATCAAAAACATAAAGATTGTTTTAAAATTATTATGTCTAAAAAGCATACAATTTTTTGTTTCAATTTTTTTTTTCACCTTAAACTCCGACTTAAGATATCTTTTTGCATGCCGCAACCCTTCTCTCAGATGAATCAGTGCTGATTGCGGTAACTGGGAACAATCTAGCGTGCTTTCCAGTTCCTGAAATGCTCTACATCCGTCCATTACAAAATTGTCCAGCCCTTCTACGCTTCTCCTTAGCATGGCAGAACAATCATCTAAGAGTTTATACATGGTACTTGTTCCTGCATTATCATAAAGAAAAACAATTAGGCCAAAAAAAAATAATCAATAGTTTCTCAGGCACCACCGCATTAGGTCAAACACTGCGGCGTTGATCAATTTTATTGACATATTGAAAAGGGAAATGATTCAGTTTTTTCTATTTTTTCAAGTTAAAAAAGAAAACTGAGTTATTCCCCTTTTCATAAATGCTAATAGATAGATTGATTGATTGATTGTATGTTGTTTTACGTCCCATTCGAGAATTTTTCACTCATATAGAGACATCACCATATACCGGTGAAGGGCTTCAAATTTTGACCTTTACTAGGCACTCAGGGCAAGTGAGCAGTGAGGGATCTTTATCGGGCCAGCGCCTGCCATGACACGGGGCCTCGGGTTTTAAGGTCTCATCAGGACCCGCAACTTTCACTTCAAAGTGCCGAGTGCATGGCGAAGGAACAGTTGCTACCCATTTTTTATCGACTTGGGCCAGTCACGGCCAAGATTCAAACTCACAACCTCCCGATCACGGAGCGAGCGCTCTACCAACTGAGCTACCATGAACAGTATAATATATAGATGTCTTTATTAGATAATATTTACATTTTCTAATGTTTTTCTCTGAGATAAATCTACAAATAAGGTATGGCTTTATAAACCCATAAAGCGATTTGCTCAGACATGACAGAACGGCATGCTTTTTCGCTGCGTGTTGCTTAGTGATACACCTGACGGGGATGCTCAGATTTCTTATTGTTGAACATTTCTTTTTATTGAATCAAAGATCAGGTAAAAATGTTCATATACGGAATAACTGTCTAGTTTTTTGGTTTTAAGATGATGATCAATCATTTGCTTGCATGAAAATTTTACGCATAAATGCCTTTGGTGTTTATGCAAATTATCACACCAGCAAATTGATTGATCACATCATAAAATCAAAAAACTAGACAGTTATTCCTTAAAACAATACATTTCTTGTTAATACAGTATTTTATGAATTAACTTTGTTTGGAATAACATTATTTGAAGTTGAATGCATATTGTAATTAATGAGAGAACAAAAAAAGTAAGATCAGTTGATATGTTCATTTTGTTGGATGACTGACGTGAAAAAAAGGTAACACCTGCTTCAAAAAAAAAGAGAGAAAAAAAAAAGAGAACCTGCCTGCTGCATTGAATTTTGAAATTTTTGGCCTGGGAGACTATAAATTAATTTTTCATGGCCTTAAAGAATAACATTCCAAAAGAATTTTAAAATTGCTTTAGACTTATCTTAAAATTTTCAAGTGTGTATATATCCAATTTTATATTCATATATTTATTCCTTTATGATACAGTTAACATCAGTGATCACACAGTTGTCACATAGCAATATTTCTTTGTGTGTAAGAAAGTTATGTAATGAAGTCAATAAAGTGGCCTCATATACCAGTACATATATCAAAACATTGTGAAACAAGCTATAGCTATACGTAAAACATTTGGAAAAGTGTGGTTAATAACAGGATTTAAATATTTAAAAGAAAAGGTTACCTAAGGGTTTAACATTTTCTTCCTTGCACAAGGCAATGTATTGTTGGATAACACTTGTTGGAGTAAGGCTTCTGATGACACTTGGAATCTTTATAATTTCACCTGTTGTTAATTTCAGTGTCTTCTCACCAAGTGGTTGGTCTTTTATAACATGGCCATTTGTGATAAAATCTATAAAGTGGTCTAACTGGTCAGCATCAAACTTCTCTCTGCTCTGTTTAAATGGTCTAACAGGCTCACCAACTCCAAAAGCTTCACTATGTTCCCTAGCTTTGTCATATTTATATCTGGTCACATCAGGTATAAGCTGAATGTAAAGTTCATCATTATTTATATATTATTAAGTGTCCAGTACTCTTCAATTTGATTACTGCATACTGTGAAATAATATAATTTTTAATTTAGAAAAAATATTTTTTCATTAAAAGAAAGTATGTGTCATTACATACCTTTTGAATACTATCAAAGCTGTGCTGCTGAATAATTATCGACAAAATTTGTCGTTGAAGTGTCCATGACTCAGCACTATTGTATATATCTACCAGTGTGTCAAGGGTTGTTGACCTTGTTATGTCTTCTTGCACACTGTTCACACCAAATACAGCTGATCTTAAAAAACCTTCATCCCCTGGGCAGATTGTTGAAAAGAGATGTTCAATACATTCTTTTGCCTTCGCAATATACCGCTGTTGTGTTCTGTAGCTTGCTGATGTTATCTGCTCTTTATGCTCTTTAACAGGACTTGCCCCAGAAAACATTAGAAAGTTGTTGAGTGCCTCTAGTTTTGAGTTGGAGCATACGGATGCCTCAGACACTGTTTCTTGACTTGCCATTGTTTGACTGTCAGTCTGACTGTCAGTTTCATATGCAGCATAAGATATCTCCTATACAAAAGTTTGATAGATTTCTATTAATTTTAGAATTATTTATAAACAATAGGCCCAAGGGCCTAGAATCCCAATAGTATCACTGTGACCTACTTCTGGTTTGGCAAATTAGTGCTGTAAGTCACCGAGATATATCAAGTGACAAGGATTTATGATTCTAAGCCTCTTTGTATGTGAATTATTTAGCTAAAATGTTTTAAAACTGAATAGCTATAAATTAATTCAGGAAGCAGATCATTGTGACAGAGTTTGATGAATGTTGGCTTCCATTTATCCAAGATACATGAAACTGAATTAATCTAAAAAATTAATAGCTGCAAAATTCAAAAAATAGGTCACTGTAACATACTTTTGAGTCAACATAATCTGAGGGCCTAAGATGCATCAACTTTTCATCTTTTTTATGATTGGTATGGTGCTATTGGAAATGATTATGTAATTTCAAAACAAGAGGTGATGCTTGGTAATACTGAAGGAAGTTGTTTGGACAATTTTCTTATTTTGTTAGGGAAACATAATTTTTATAGTAAAACAAAAATGTACAGTAAATGGGCAATACTGTATTTGATTTACTATTTCAGTTACTACATGTACTTGCTTGTATTATATTATTTACATGTGCATGCGATTAACTGGAATATTGCTTTTGGGAATTTTTACTGTTGCTACATGTACTTGCTTGTATTATTATATACATGTGCATGTGATGAACTGGAATTACTTTTGGGAATTTTTACTGTTGCTACATGTACTTGCTTGAATAATTTATACATGTGCATGTGATGAACTGGAATTACTTTTGGGAATTTTTCAGTCACTACATGTACTTGCTTGAATAATTTATACATGTGCATGTGATGAACTGGAATTGCTTTTGGGAATTTTTCAGTTACTACATGTACTTGCTTGTATTATTTTATACATGTGCATGTGATTAACTGGAATTGCTTTTGGGAATTAGGTGCAAAATGTGTGTGTGGGTGTGGGAGAGTGTGAAGGAATGGGTTTTTGACCTATGTTTGTAAGTTTATATAACTATATAAAGTAAATTTTTTTTAAAAAAACAAATCAATAAAAAAAAAGTTTCAAATGACTGAACCATAATTATCACATATTTTTAAAATTTTTCTCTCCCCTTCAAAAAGTTGCAGTCCTTCATCTGGAGAAATTTGAATTTAAGGATTAATTGGTGAAGGAGAGAAGTCAAAGATGTAAAAGTCAACAGACATTGATGGCTATATAACTAGACAGTTAGACAGTGATTATGGAACAAACTTTAATCAGTAAAGCTGCTTTTTTTTTAAAATTTGCCATAGCTATTTGTATTACAATGAGTAAGAACAAAGGAGCTTAACAAAATGATTACAGACCATAAACTCTCTCTCTCTCTCTCTCTGGTTATACCTTTCTAATTCTCTTGGATGGAATTTTTAGCTCCTCGGATTCTGTTTGTGTAACAGCATCGCACGTCTGAATTTAAAGAAAAACATGCATGCACATGTACTATATACTAGTATTTTTTGCACGTCAATCAGAGAAGAAATGCATGAATGGGTACTTTATACTTAAACCAAAAGAATACTGACCTCATCACTGTGAACACTATCAGCAGGATCAGAATTTTCTAAAAATTTTCTCCTACAGTTTCTGCATATACCTGATAATGATTACACTATATTTAAATCTTTTTCAGACCAAAAAAAAAAATGCAAATGTAAAACAGATGCAAATGACACAACAAATGTCACTCTGTCACCTGATCCTTTGTTATTCACTAATGTTAAAGATTGTTTACAAAACTTTGCATAACCTACATGTAATATAACTGATTTTGCTGCTTATTAGATATATATATGTAGTTTTATTGGCTATTTCCTCTGAATATTCCTCTGAAATATGAACAGTGTAAGCTGTTAAGATTATCATTGTGCATATGAAGGGAGATTAATAGCAATTTATCAGTTTATACTTATATCATATTTGTTATTCAATCTTTCCCAATACTTAGAGTGTTCTCTCACCTGTGCCTACTGGAAATACTCTCCCTGTAGATGTGAGAATTTTTTTAACAAGTTGCTTTGTGATATGCCTCTCACACTTCCTACTGTCTTCGGGATGAGTAGATATTTCATTGGGAATAGCACAAGTTTTAGAACGAAGTCGTTTGTAGTGCCTATCCGTAAGTTCTGTTTTATGATTTTCACAGATGTAACCGTTTGTTTCGTCTGTAAATGGATCTTTTCCTATATCGGATAAGAAAACTGCCCTCTCATCCTCAGAAAATGCATTTAAAGAACAAATCTTCTCACAACACGGGGTTACCGGCGAAAACACAGTTGTTTCGGTTGCTCTAAGCAGAAGACATCTCCCCGCCATAATATTGTTTACACAGCATTTCTATCCTCTTTCGCAGAAGAGTTCCAAGCGGGAGATAACTCTTAGTATGACATGACTTGAATTCTCAAAAATACAACCATTGCTTTGAGCTTATATAATCAGATTCCCAAAAGTTTTATTACAGCTTATAGATCTACAGACATTATTTATTAATATAATAAGTTTCACTGAGTTCAAAGTGGATGCAGGGACATTTTTTGGATGTCACAAAATTGCACCTTTCAAGAAGCAATTTTATCTTTGAATTCTTTGAATATACACAAAAAGCATTAAATATGTATTTTTTTTAATTTTAAAATGAACCAAAAATATTATCCTTTTATATCAGAAAATTTAATGTAGAATAAAGTAAAGTTAGATTTACAAAGTAGAAGTTTAATTCCACATCCCTATTTTTCATAAAATCAATAAAACGGGAAAATGTTTGACCCGTTTCCATGGATACAGGGTATCATTTCAAAATTTTGAAGTATGTTTGATAAATGTCTTCAAGAGGTGTCCATTTCATGTGAGTATCAATAAAATCTGTGACTATGCGTGGCAAAGTTGTCTAAGTGGTTACAGAGAATGGCTCTTAATAGCAAGATACAAGTTTCTTTAAAGTTTAGCGTAAATAATTATGACGTAATATTTTAATAAGATTATAACTTTTCTTATTTTATGAGATTTTAGCAAACATAAATTAGAAGGGAATTGGCATTAAATTGAAGATTCAATTTATTTTTGAAAGTGCGTGAAAAATGCGTGATTGCGGGGAAACGGTATATGCATGATTTTGCGTTAGAAATAGGAAATGGTATATGCGTTAAAATGCGTCACTGCGGGGAAGAGGGTTAACAAAGCATTTATTAGAAGAGAAAGTGAGCAAAATTTGTAGAATTATTATTATTCTTTTTTCTAATTATCTTTAAATCATCACAAAACTCAGATTTGGGTTTATTTAAAAAATAAAATAATATCTTTCATGTTTCGTTGGTTAATTATCTGTCATGCATTGTAACAGATGCAACGGATATAACGTAGACTGAAAAAACTGAAAAAGTTCAAAGAACAATGATATCATAGTCAGTTAAACTATGTATTTATAATATGAATTTCGTGTACTTTCTCTATATGTTCTAATATTTACTCTGCCAATTTGTCGAATTTGATGTAAATTTTGCATCACACACCACCATTATCAGTGAAGTAAATCAGTTTAATGTTTACTAGTTTGATTACGCATTGCTATTCCTTCTATTTTGAAGAGTAGATTTAGAATAGACAGGGGAAGCTTACTCCTCCATGGCACCTGATCCTACCTCTGCCGATTTTAGGTCCATATTTGTTCTGCTCACAATTTATATTGTTTCAATGGGCTTTTGAGATTGATTACTCTTCGCTTCGCTTGTGAATAGCATTTATAATTAATCTTCTTATAACAAAGCGTAGATATTGATACGACAAAACGGTTATACACTTGTATAGATGCTTTTACCATGTTTTTATTTTTTTAATCTTCTGCCCGATTTGAGAAGTCTATCAATAAGGAGAAAAATATATGTTCCATTCATTTAAAAGCATCTTATGATTTTTTTTTTCATAATTTTTATGTGGATTACATGAAGCAGAGGAAAGATTTGTCGGGAGGTGTAGTTTAATGGTTGTCTTTTTTTTTTTTTTAAAATTACTTTGAAAAATTTGCGATTGATTTGAACCAGCTGTTCCAGTTCTTAAGTCAAAATGAAAAAAAAAATCCTGATTGAACTAAAAAAGTTTCCATCCGCTGAATGATGATCGGAATCTGGTAACACTTCGAAGAGGTCCTTTAATGTTGCTAGTAAATTATGTGCGGACGTACACTCAATCTCCTTAATTGTTTTCTACAACGACGACACTAGTTGTGTGTCTTATGTCCTCAGCCCCAAGAAACAATGCATAGCCCCAACAACATTCGAATTAACAACTATTTCCGAACCAATGTATCCCTCAACATGACAATACAGAGTCCACGAGAATATATACATACCGTCCTCTGGACAAAAGAAGACGCCAGCCTATCGATTGTAATGTCCACCAATATTTGTAATTATGTTGTCAAATGTGATTTTTTGGTGGAGCCCTAGGCTCGATTCATCATGTGACAAGTAAGCATAAAAGGAAACGCCAGCTGCATGGACATATGTAAAATAGAAACATAAAAAGAACTAAAAATATATCAACAGCAAAATATGAAGGTGAGTAAATTTACTGTGTTGAAGCATACCCGAAACGGATCTTCTCTCCGGTTTTGCGTTCTTCAACAAAGTTTTCGTACAACAATTTATGTGATCAGATGGTGCATAAGAAATTTTTGATATCTGTTTCGAGTTTGACTTATTTATCCCATTTACTGCAAAACTTGGACTTCCAAGAATTGTGTTATTTCCCGAGGTCGGGTTGAAGTCACTTTTGTCATTTTCTTTCTTAGAATTACCAGTTAAGGCATTCAATACCTTTAATTTGCTACATCTTTTAACTTCATATTTTCTACGTTTATTGTTTTAATGATCTTCTCTTGTTCTGCATTT